AGAGTTCAATGACAGTTTAACAGCGTATAATGGAGACACAGATAATAACCAAGATAATAACGCTTTTTATTCAAAGTCCAACCTATCCAACACGGACACCGAAGGGAAATTAGGAAGTGTCCGTTTTAAGGAGGTCAACAGGACGACGTTACTTCAAAGAGTTCAATGACAGTTTAACAGCGTATAATGGAGACACAGGCTCGTCCATCTAGATTTATTGCTATTTTAGTATCGAGGCACTGTTTAATTGGATAAGGAAATGAACTACACTGAAATGCTACAACTGAAATATAATGCTATTTCAGGCCGACTACTCATGAGTGTATTGCCGCATGTAAAACATACGATAGAAATACAAAGAAGTATTATAGAATAGAGCAATGAATAGTGTATTACCGCCTGTAAAACATACGATAGAAATACAAAGAAGTATCATAGAATAGAGCAATGAATAGTGTATTGCCGCATGTAAAACATACGATAGAAATACAAAGAAGTATTAAAGAATAGAGCAATGAATAGGATGACGCAACATCATGGTTACACCCAAAAATGAATGCGGAAATACCAGTCTGACGAGTCTGTTCTGCATATATTTATCTTTGATATTTTCACAGGTAGAAATACAGTTCGAGATATAAAGGTGAACGAACTCTTGAGGAAGGTCCACGGCCTGAAAACAACCAAACAACAGGAAATCAGTTATGTCATGCTCCATACAACATTTAGTTCGACTATTTGTCTTTGATCATCTGTTGTGTTCTTGAGCTAGACGCTGTGCGTCGCTCTTACCAGAGGTGTACATGGGTAGCGGCGAACTATCATGGAGACTAGTCAAAAAGATAGGAGAGGGGTAATCACGCGATCAGTTAGCATCCCTCACAGGAAGGGAGAGTAAGAGGGTGGGGGAATACTTTAACAAGTTTACGCGACCGAAACTGGGAAAAGCCTCAGCTGAATGAGCCGTCTGGCTCGTGCTGACTTCCCCTTCAACGTAACGATCGTATAAAATTGTGAAGTTAAAGCGTTACAATCGTTTATTTCCTTTAATTTTTTTCTTTTAGTTATTTATCTCTTTCTTCGTATATTGATTTTTAACTTTTTTTGTTTTCAAAGTTCTCGGAGTTCTTTGCTTTGAGAACTCGAAGTGAAAACAACCAAGCTGCCTAAAGCGCGGGAAAACAACCAAGCTGCCTAAAGCGCGGGAAAACGCGGGCGACCATGTTATGACTGGTGTTAGTTTTGCATCCAATTGGTTGAGCTGGAGAGTGGCGCGAGTTTTCTGGACCAATCACAGAACGAAGTAAAGCAAAACCAATGACATCCTGAATTACTTTCGACACTCAATTGTAAATTGTTGTAATGTCAAATTACCGTAGTTAATCTGTTGACAACCTCCATTGAGTGCAGAGACATCTCCATGTTCACTAACACGGAGAAATACCTAATGAAAACAACAATAACTTTAGTTCTCGTCATTTGAGTCGAAGTCTGAATGGTCACATATATACAGCCAGGTCACTGAGTTGTTCACAAAACGGCAGCATCCGTAGCCGATAAAACGATCGAAGACAATTTGACTCGTTAAGCTACTCTTGGGAGTCTAAAATCGTGGTACGTGGTACATTTTCGTATCAACTTTTTATGAAACACTGTGAACATATGATTGACATAACTTCTCCCTGTAATATCCATACTTCTTCCAGCAAACAGGTAATGAGATACTCAAACTTATCTGATAGAAGCAGGTAATTACACTGAGAGTTTATTACCTCTTGGTAGAAGTTGTTATCTTGATCCACCAACAAATTATCGTAACTTAGTTATAAGAAATTTCTAGCAGCTAAAGGGGGAATCAAAAATCACATCTTTGGAGTTACAGGGCGAAAGCTGATTTGGGTTCATTCAGTATTCATTAATGATAGGGTTATTGATTTTTATCCCTTTTGTCAAAATCAAGCTCTCCCTACCGCTCTCCATAAAGAACCCATATTTCCTGCTGAGAACTTGGCTTTGAATCAACTTAAGTTTCCACGAACGATGCGTAGATACTCACTCTGTTATTTGGTTGGACTGCATTAACTTCAGCAAGACTTCGATGGCAATCAATGGATTATTCTCCACAAGATCAGGAAGCTACCAAATTAAATCAAGCAAGTAAATACTGGCAAAAGGAGACAGCTAGAAAAAAAGTTTCTGCACAAGTCACGAACTCTTGCGGGCTCATGTTTGACAACACAGTAACAATGTAGTGAATTGGCGGATTTTTGGAAAAATTGAAAAGCGGCGCGGTTTTCATGCCCCAGTAAAGGCGTGAGTAAAATGGTTAGGCTTGAAAATTTGGCTACAGACTTCTTTAGAAAGGAGGACAAAATCTTTTTTGAGCAACATAGATTCATCCCCGATCACTTGTCAAATGTCAGCGTTTACCACACAGTAATCTACCTCTCTCACAGGGGGCCCAAGCCCTCTTTGAGAACCACACAAGGAACACAATTTGCATATCGATTTATAAGGATTTGTATGGGATTTTCTACAAGATAGCCATAGAGATAGTTAAAAGTGAAAATATTAAATAAAAATGGCTTACCTTATTCCATACGTGTGTTGCTTGCTCCTGGTGTCGTTATTTTACCGATTTCACTTGATTTAA